CTTTAATGATTTTAAAATGGCAAAAAAAATAAAAATCATTAAAAAAGTTAAAAAAAATAGATTTGGGTATATATGATATTAAAAAACATTAAGAAGGGCAAACACGATATTTGGAATTTAGGCCGGGCAAATATGATATTTAGCTGTTTAACGAGGGTATATACGAAATTCTGCCATATATATATATATATATATATATATATATATATATATATATATATATATATATATATATATATATATATATACCAAAGGGCCAATGGTCTGACGGTATGGAGTGACCATCTCATATGAGAGGTCAGAGGTTCAAGTCTCGGTGGAGACATAGGTGGTTATTTAGGAGTAGATTAGTTAGTTTGTTGTTTCAAAATATATATATATATATATATATATATATATATATATATATATATATATATATATTAAACACAATCAAATTTGGTTTTGTAAGGGTATCCCTCTCCTTGTCCACGATATTATATTTTGGGATTTTGTTTCCCCATCCATGTCCTTAATCACCGTGGGGATTCTCCAGTCAACTCAAGTTCGAGCATCCATTCCCCCGATGACTTTTTGGACATTTTCGCTTATAATATCATATAATATTATTAATTTATGAAATGCTTAAATAGAAAAAAATATTTAAAGATAAAGATCTTTTAAACATTTGATATAAATATAAACTACTAAATATACAACATAAATAATCAACAATAAATATTGGATATTCACATTATTAAACATATTTTCTATCGGTGATTTTAATGTTATTAACATATTTTGATGTAATTATTGTTAGTAATGAGATAGACCGAGTTTCATATACTAACCGAGATAGGAGGTGCGAGGTGCACATTTGGAGTGATAAATGTGAACTCGAGAAAACGGGGGTCCGGCGGCAGCGTCCCTGGGTGCAGGGTTCCAAGGGTTGCGCCCCTAGCGGGGTCCAAGGGGCAGAGCCCCTGACGGTGTTCCTAGAAAAGGTTATGTCTTAATAACCAACGTTTTTGGCGCCAAAAAGATGTAACTTCCGTTTAACTACTTTCCCTCTAGTATAATAACATTTTTTGGTTCCAAAAAGAAGGTTGGAATTTATATACGCGAAAATCATACATTGATTTGTTCATCTCTCAAAAACACAAAAACAACAAGGTATTTTTTGTGTTTCTGATTTAAAAGTGACATGACTTTTAAATTGAAATTCTTTTGATTACCCCAAATCTGATTTCGTGATACCCCGACTATAGGGTCTAAATCACAGATTTCAGAAAGTGAATATAATCATGATTCAAGAAATATCAAAGTATATTGATATTCTTAAGACCCTAAAATTTAACATTTTCCCAGCTTTTAAAGATCAAATACAATCACCATCTTGATTTTTAAAGGCTGGTTGTTGACATATAATGTTAATGACTCAAATTTTGCACTAACATTTTGACATAAAACTTATTCGATAAACAAAATTTCTGAACTTAAAAAGATCTTCAAAATTCTATTTTGACATAAAGTATTTGTGAAAATTTGCTTTTGCAAAATTTTCAAACTTCTTTTTATTTTTTGAACACCATTTACATTTTTTTAGATTCTGACTTTGACATAAAGCAATTTCGAAAATTGCTTTTTTTGATTTCCGAACTAAATTATGATTTTTAACATCATTTTTTTGGTAAAGGTAATGCAAAATTTCAAACTTAGGTAAGAAATCTCGAATTTGTTTTGCTAGGTAATGGTGGTTTTTACTATTATTCAATTTACATTCCAAATTTCCGGAACTACTTTCCTTTAAGATGTTTTGGGACGTACATATAATTGTTTTTTTTTTCAAATTTATTAATTTAGTCATTATCAAATCAAAATAATTAATCCGGTCACGAAGAAACCAAGGGCTTTTATAGACTGCACATTATACAGTGTGAATCAACTCCCTCACGGGCAAGTGAAACTCGGTTTTGATTACAATGTTCGCTTGAAATAAACCTCACAAGTTGGTTCTTAGCTATATGATTCGACAAGTAGTTAAAAGATGGTAGAAAGGCCATTTTTGGTAAAAAAATTATTTGATTTGGGCCGATGGTAAAATATATATTAAATAATAAGAATACCAAAAATTTACGAATTTGTATCTATTTCTTATTTGAATAACAACTTTTGTGAAATTGTGTGTGTGACAAATTTTTTTACATTGGTTGTCATTTTCCAAGATGTAGATATTCATACCTATATTTTTAGAGATATTGTTATGAGACACATTATTTATTAGGAAACTATTTAACACTTGTTTCACTTGAAGATTAATATCTGACACGCTTTCACTTGAACGACTATCAAATCAAGTGATAGAAGAACATCACTTTCAAAGGGAGGAGATGGTTGATTTCCCGGTAATGGGAACGACTTATGAGGATTTTCCAGTAACGGGAGAGTGGTGGCTCCAACCTGAGCATCAAGAATGTGGGGAAGAAAGGGATATAGTGTGGGAGCAGGGAAAAAGACGGGACATTTAATTTATGGTGAATGTAATAAATAATTAAAAATGATAAAGAATAAGTCAAAAAAAGAAATAAATAAGGGCATTATAGTCCTTTCAAGTCTAATACATCGGGATGATCCGAACGTAGAAAAAAAGATAAGGACTAAGCCAATAATTTCACCTAAACCATAGGGACCATTTCATTAATTTATTGGTAATGTTACACGTGTTCCCATATAGGTTTTTTTTTTTTTTAAACAATGTTCATTGAATTTACAAAGGTTCACACAAGAGGTTCAAGGGCAGTAAAAAAATATGGATTATATAACTCGTTACATGATCGGGAATGTTATAATAAAGGTTCTTGTGTTGAAAATTTTGACAAAAATGGTCCATGAATAAGAGGTTAACGATCGGGAATGTTATACTCCCTCCGTCCCAATATTATTGTTCACAGACAAAAAACACATATATTAAGAAAAGCATTAATTATCATTAACTTTATTTTATAAAATGACAGTTTTGTCCTTACTTTGCATTTAAGGGGGTATTTTGGTAAAAATGTTATTTATTTTTAGAATTGGACTATTATTTTGGAACAAACCAAAAATGAAAGATGGACTATAATTTTGGGACAAAAATGGTCCTTGAATAAGAGGTTCTTGTACAGACAAAAAAAATCAAAATATTTAGTAATAAACAATTACATAAATAGTCCCTAATTTTGACCGAAAAGTCAACATTTTATAATGATAAATATTTCTACCAGCAATGACATGTTTGATATGTCTTCTACTTGGTTTAATAAGAGGCTAGGTCTGATTCGCTCGGTTCACACCGTTCCATACAATAATTTTGAGCCTCTTATTCGGTTAATCACATATGATTCGGTCATATGACTAAGAGAAAACCCTTACTTGCCATCATTTGATTGATATTCTCTTTTTTCTTGAATAACGCATCCTTCCTTCGTCCTACACTAAACACCAACACACATCTCTTTTAATCGACACACATCTTCTCCTTCCACCACTACCAATCCTCTCCCCCTTCAATTGATGCACATCTTGACCATCATTCGAAGGTCGATACAGCCATCTCTACAACCAATGTTGTAAATGGCGATCACCAAGGCGCTAGGTGGACAACAACTACCACGATTTTTGCTAGGTGGTCAAATTAGACGGATTTAGTCAATGACAGACAAAAGCGGTTTAGGCGGGCATAAGGTGTCCTAAACGGCCAAATTTTCCAATTTTAAAAATTTTAAAATTTTAAAATATTACTCCAAATTTATCAAATTTTCAGACTTAAAATTTTTAAATTTTCGAATATTACACTAAAATTTTCAAATTTCAAACTTTCAAACTCTTAAATTTTCAAATATTTATTTCTGAAAATATATTAATTTTTGAATAAATTATATATATCCTAACAAAATAAGCAAATCACCATATATTTTTATTAATTTTGTTAGGATATATGTAATATTTAACTTTTTAAAAACAATTTCTAATACAAATAAGGGTCACCGCCTAAGCGCTGATTAACCCCCACCTAGACCGATTAGTCGCCTGACTCCAATTGACCGCTCGACTACCGCCTAACAACTTTTATAACCTGGGTACAACCATGAAATTGATATTGAAGGTTCATCTATTGAAATTGATTTTGTAGGTTGGTCTTGTGAAATCGATTTTGAAATTGAGCCATGAAATCAATTCAAGAAATCGATTTTTAAGATTGATTGAAATCAAGCCGTGAAATCAAATCAGGATATCGATTTTGAAATTAATTGAAACTAAGCCATGAAATCAATCTAGGAATTCGATTTTGAAACTGATTGAAATCAATTTTAAAATTCATGTGAGAAACATATTTTGACCTAATTTAATGGAAGTTGTTAAGCTTTTGAAATGGTATAGTTAAATGGTCAAATTAAATAATTTGTGAAGTTAGTATATGATGTTGTGTATGTTATAAAACGAATGTTGTTCACTATAGTAACATCTGGTATGAATTACTTAAAAAATTTTATGGTGTTTTGGTATATATTATTATTTTAAATAGAAAGATAAATTGGTTCAATTCAAACTATATATCTCAATAAATCAAAGACAGTTAACCCTGTTTATACTAATTCTCTGTCTCTGTAATCTTTCTTTCTTACATGTTCCTCTCAAATCCCAACTACCAAACATCAAAAGATGAAAGACATGCATACATGTATTTGCAGAATCAAGCATATCCAACAAGAGTCTACTCTTTCATCATTATGAATATGAAGCAGCAAAGCATCTAGATTTTAATTTCGAATTATACAAAACAAAAGGACATGAAGAAACCTTAATCATTCTTGTAAGTTATATACACTGCCATAAGAACAATCAGTACAAACAAACATAGAAGCATAAACCATGTGAATTATATACAATATTTGCATCAGAATGATCTTAAACGACTATGATTCAGGGAAAGCGGGGTTTACCAGTTACGGATTCAGCATACAGTCGCAAACCTCAAATCCTCAACGCAACCTTCTCTCAGCAGGATCAGCAACTCCATCAGCTACTATCCTCACCACCCTCTTGAGTGCGAAGTGCAAGCAATTTGATAGAACAAACCAGGTAAGTGCCTCATAGACGAAATCAAAAGCCGGATCCGACGACGAAGAAGACGATTCATCCCAATTAAACCCATGGAAATTGCCACCGCCACCGCTACCGCCACCGCCGCCAAACGGACCATCGCCACCACCAAAGAACCCTCCTCCGTCTCCTCCATCATCAGCACCAAAGCTGTCGATTTTAATTCTCTTTCTGATACGAGAACGTTTTCTAGCACCTGTCTTAGGTATGGTGCTAGGTTTTACAGGTGGTGGAGCGACTGCGTCGATCGGCAACATTTGAGCGCAGATTTCGAGACGTTGTTGTTGATCGGGTGAAGAAATTGCGAAGTTGTGTCGACGAATGAGGGAATTAGCAAACCCTAAGCGATGGCTGTGTTTTTTGTCGATTGTTGTTACAGTATCATGAATTAGCGAAACTTCCATCGTTTTTCAAGTTAGAGTAAAATTCTTTAGGCTTGATATATCAGAATTGATCGATCGACCGATCAATTGTTGATTGGAGCAGTGAATCGAAATTGGGGAAATTTCATCATTCAAGTAGGTGAAGCACGACTCCAAGTTTGTTCGTACAGGGCAGTAGCTCAAGAACGAAGATTGCAAGATATTTTGTTATTAAACTATCAACAAATTACTTAAACCGTCCTTGCGGTTTGGATAAAATTATAAGTTTGGTCGAAACTTTTATTTTGCATTTGAACCGTCCCTATCATATTATTTTGTTGTGTTTTTTCGTCATTTGTAGTGAAAAAAGACTATATTATCCTTTGTATTTTTTTTTATTATTATTTGTTTCTTATTTACTAATTAAAAAAAATAAAGGAAAAATAATTTATAGATAAATGGGTTCTACTACTCCTCAAACCTCATTCTCTTTTCCCATCCAATATCCACCTCACTTCAACACACCAACTTTCACCATCAAACACCACCATCACCTATTACCCCTTACCACTCTTTACAAAATCAAAATCAAAAGATGTATATAAAATCATAACATGGAATCAACACTAAACCAAACAACGACTTAAAACCAAATATTATAAAAACATATCGATTCTCAATCAAATATATAACAAGAACGTCACTAAAAGGGGAGGCGTTGGAAGATTGAGCAAATTTGGAACGACACCACAAAAAACATTATGACGGTGGAAGGTTGAGTAGATCCGACAACGAGTTAGCACTATATAAGGGATCTGCTGACATAAGTCATGTCCAATGGTGGATGACTGTGGTTTAGAGTTTTCCGGTGGAGGCGTGGATGAAGTAAAACTGGAAAAGATGACGACAAGGCGTCGGTACAAAGGTTTTTACTGGTGAGGGGTTAGAGAGATCTAGGTGGTTTTCCAACGACGATGAGTAAGCGATGAACAAGCGAATCTGAACAAAATGGGAGGAAGATGAAGGCAACGAGAGGATTTCCAACGATAATGGCTTTATTTCGAAATGAGAGGAAGGTTGTTGGCGGATGGATATTTGTGATTTCATCTGAGAGAAGAAAGAATACACATATGGATATGATTTGGAAGGGGAGTAAAAGTTACCAGATTTCATGGAGGCGTCAGCCTGTGCTCTTTGTTAGATGTCGTTTTATGCATCTTATAGGGTAGTTTTCATTAGCATTTAGGATAATATTTTGTACATTTGCATGTCATTTGTTTAAACAATGTTCAGCTCATGTCTTTCGTTAGAATTCCCGTACTGCTCATGTTTTTATGTCAATTTCAGATAGTTCGAGTGGAGCAGTGCTTTGGGAGCAGTTGGATGCGCGTTTGGAGCTTAAAATGGAGCTTGGGACTTATGAAGGATTATGAGGAATGTTTGGAAGATGCTTTGGTCAAGAAACATTCGATTGAATTGATCACACAAAAATAGAATATGCAATCGAAAGTTAAAGGATGTTGCTGGCAGCTTTGACCCCCTGTTAGTATTTTGACCATATCTCGATAACCGTAACTCCGATTGACGCGATTCAAAATGATCTGAAAAGAAGCCCAAAATTTCGAACTTAAATATGGGCTGATTCATCTTCTTCCCACATTCTGTGGTCTAGAAAACGAAGACCCACATAAATTCCTCAAGGAATTTCATGTGGTATGTTCTGGAATGAAGCCGCATGCAGTTACTGAATACCAGATCAAACTAAGGGCATTCCCCTTTTCGGTTCAATATGCAGCAAAAGAGTGCTTATATGACCTCCCGTCTGGTTCAATAACAAGCTGGAATGAACTCGCCAAACTTTTTCTACAGAAATATTTTCCTGAGACGAAAGTGTCAAACCTGCGCAGAGAGATTCTTGGTATAAAGCAAGACAAAAGAGAGGCTCTCCGCACTTATTGGGAGCGGTTCAAGAAGCTGCTGGTCCGATGCCCTCAACATGACATTAGTGATTATCAGTTGTACCAGTGTTTCTGCGAAGGCTTGATACCCATGGAGAGGCGACTTATAAATGCATCAAGTGGAGGGTCACTTTCAGACATGACCCCGACTGAAATCAGAAAGCTAATTGAAAAGCTGGCGATCGAGTCTAAACATTTTGGGAATGAAGACGAATGGTATCCAGATCAGCCAATGGGTGTTAAGGAAGTCAGCAATGTTCATCTGGAAGCTCAGATATTTGAATTGACAAAAGTTGTTCTGCTCTTGACTAAAGAAAAAGCAGCTGCAAAGAAACAATGTGGGATTTGCTTGAAGACTGATCACCCTACAGATATGTGCCCAATACTGCAAGAGGATACAGTTGCAGTCAAAGCTGTCGGGGGCTACCAACAAAATTTTCAGAATAATTATCAGCAGAAACAACAATTTCAGCCTCCACCCGGATTTCAGCAGCAGCGGAATTTTCAGCAGCCGGGTTTTCAACAAAATTTTCAGAATCAGCAGAATTTTCAGCACCAGAATTTCCAGCAGCCTTTGCAACATCAACCCAGGAGTTCCAGCATGGCCTTAGAAGATATAGTGAAGAGTCTTGCCACGAGCACCCAAGCATTCCAGACCGAAACTAGAGCTAGTATCAAGAATCTGGAACAACAGGTGTCTCAACTTGCCACTTCTGTGGGTCGTCTGGAGTCTCAAGGAAAGTTACCAGGGCATACAGAAAACAATCCAAAGCACAATGTGAGTGCTATTTCCTTGAGAAGCAGAAAGACATATGAAGGCCCAAGCTCAACTAAACCAGAAAACAAAGATGAAGAAGAGTTTGAAGAGGTTTTGATAGAAGAAGGAGATGTGGAAGGGATAGAAAAAGAAGTTGAAGCTGAAGAGTTTGAAGAGGTGTTGGTTGAAGAAGAACCTGAAAAACTGGAAGAAAAAGAAACTCCAACACTACCCAAGCCAATTCTGAAGGAGTATAAGCCATTACCTCCATTCCCATCAAGACCGAAGAGTACGAAGCGCGAAAGAGATGATGAAGATATTATGGAAATTCTTCGCAAGGTTGAGGTAAATATACCACTTTTAGATATTATCCAACATATCCCTCACTATGCTAAGTTTCTTAAAAATTTATGTGTTTCAAAGGAAAAAATGAAATATAATGAAATTGTAAAAGCTGGCGAAAATATCTCTTTTATTTTACAAAAAGGTTTGCCTCCAAAGTGTAGGGATCCGGGGATTTTCTTAGTTCCTTGTAAATTGGGGAACCTTAGTTTTCCAAAAGCCATGCTTGATCTAGGAGCTTCAGTTAATGTCCTTCCCTATTCTGTTTTTGAAAAATTAGAAATAGGAAATTTACAAAAGACCGGGACAATTATCCAATTGGCTGACCACTCGACAGTACACCCAAAAGGTGTACTGGAGGATGTTCTTGTCCAAGTGGATAATTTGATTTTTCCCGCTGATTTTTATATATTGGACATGGGAAACTTGGACACTTCAGATGTGAACTCTATTATTTTGGGAAGACCTTTTATGAAAACTGCAAAAACAAAAATTGATGTTTGTAATGACACAATTTCAATGGAGTTTGATGAGGAAGTGGTTAAATTTCAAATTAATAATGATGATTTTCCTTCTAAAAATATTTCTGTAAATTATACGGGTACCAGCAGTCCTTAGTCTGAGGGCTGCTGTGAGTTTTCTAATGTCTCTGTGCAAAAAAAAATTTAGACATGAATTCATCTGATAATATATCCAAGGAGCTGGCAGAAGATAAGCTTGGGGAGGTGGAAGAGGTTGAGCTGGAATCTGCTAAGAAAAATTCAGATGATATTTTGAAAAGAAAAAAACTTTTTGAAAAAGAAGAGGAGTTGGGTTCTGAGAGAGAATCAGATGAAAATCTGAAAAGGAAAATGTTTTTGGACAAAGAAAAGGTGGGAGATGTGATTTCAGATACGAATCTGAAAAGAAGAAAGTTTAAATAATCTGAAGAGAAGATTTTTGGGAAGAAAAAGAAGATTAGAAAGAGAAAGAAGTCTAATCAACTAAAAGACTTATCTGATAACTATTTGGGGTCTTTCCCGTTTGCTGAACAAGTTCCCGATCCACCCATATTGCCATATTTGAAGGGATCTAGAGTCACAAGGAAAAGAGTTGAGCTTCAGAGAAGTCCCAACCACACCAGTTAGTTAATTTGGTTGGGCAAAGTCAAGCCAACGACTTTAAAAAAAAGGGCGGATTTCCGGGAGACAACCCGATGAGTAGTTTTTAGTTTTTATGCTTTCAATAAAGAGATGGTCGCAGTTTCAAGCAAGCTTGGGGAAATCAGAGGATCTTCAAAGTCGCTGAAATTCAGATTTTTCTTCAACATTCATCGTCAAAATCAGAATTTCTGCAATCTATCAGGTACATTCATTCCTAGCTGTATATTTTTTGCTTTTATATTCTTTATTGAGCTGTTCATTCCTCTCTAAGCATTGAGGACAATGCATCATTTTAAGCTTGGGGAGGGGGTTAGTGTAAAATTTTGCATTTTTGTTTAAAATTTTAATTTTTCAGTTTTTTTTAGTTAAAATTTTCAAAAAAAATTTTTGCAATTTATTTTCTGCATTGCATTTGCATATAAAAAATTCAAAAAAAAAGTCCAAAAAATATTTTATTTTTATAGCATTCATAAATAAGAGAACAAAAAAACCAAAAATATTTTTATTTCTAGTTATTTTTTTATTTTCTACATATAAAAAATCTTTAAAATCTTAAAAAAAACAAAGATTTACATGAGATGAGGATATCTTTTTACATTCGATAGCTCTGTTAAGATGAAGTGTGATAGTTACCGAAAATAACGGTCTCATTACAATCAATTTTAAGAAATATATTTTCAAGTGCTTTAAATGTTTTCAATATGAACCAACATAAGAGTCGGATAATTTTTACAATGGAAGTGTGGGATGGAAAAATGAACAATGTTTTGAAAATAATTTCCTTAGATGCCTTAAAAAGAACCTAGATTGGATAACCCTTATCATTCCTTGAAGTACTGAACG